CGACCTATATACGTTTTTTTCCTCTTCACGACGCATTTATTGGCTGATGCGACTTATACTCAGGAGCGACTTATAGTCCGGAAAATACGGTACCTGACATCCCTTTATATTAATAGAACAATAATGTCATTGTTAGCTAATGAATGTTTCCATGATGAACAACAGCAACATGACAACATTTTCAGTAGAAGCTGCTGGGAGTCCCAGCAGCTTCTACTGAAGCCAGTCCCCAACTCCGAGGACTTCCGGCCGGGGACTTCGGGTGGCAGTATACGCCGTGAAGTTGTTTGCGGCCTGCCAGTAAACCCAAAGCAGAAGAAGAAGAAGAAGTGACGTCAGCAGCTTCATTTTCCTAATCGTCCCCAGGGACTTATTCCGGTGTGAACGCGATCGGCTCTTAGTTCCATGGGGGAACTAAGTGCTGGGAACTAAGTACGGCAAAGTACTTGGTGTCAACGCGGCTATTGGTCCCTCTTCTTTAGAGAAGACCAGGAAATGATGGATACACGGATCGTGTTCAAATCAATAGGCACACAATGACTCTAAATAATAATGATCACGCCACCAAACACACATTCAAACTAAAGGAACCAGCCTGCTTGAGACTGCCAAGGCACACNATGGCAAAAATACACACATCATTTACTCAAGTAGAAGTACAGACACTCGTGTTTAAAAATACTCTGGTGAAAGTAGAAGTACTGACTAAACTTCTTTACAGTAAAGAAGTTTAGTCAGTACTTCTACTTTCACCAGAGTATTTTTAAACACGAGTGTCTGTACTTCTACTTGAGTAAATGATGTGTGTATTTTTGCCATCTCTGGCAGTAGTGAAAGGTCACGGCGGTCTAATTGCAGAGTGTGTGAAGAAAGATTGTTAATCCTAACAGTTTTATTACTCACTGTCAAGGAGAATCCCGACTCGTAGGGAGATCTCAGCGACTGCTGCGTCCTCCTGCCTGCGGGGAAACACACGATACAGTTCACTAATTATCACTTCATTATAAACTGTTCATCATATAGGCTCGCAGTGAGAGCTGGAATGACTGATAATGAGAGTAATTTAGTAACAACGGACGCCCGCTCCATATTCATTCTGACTTGGAGTAATAGCTCAGCTGTCAGTGAATATTTCTCTTAGAGTAGCATAAGATTTTTACATTCAGCTGTGTTATTCGACACCAAACACAAAATAAATAGGCCTACCATTATTTTCCTCTTAATAAATGAAAAGTTGAATGTATAAGTATCAAAACACCATTACATAATGTAGTGGTTTTGTTGCTACAGCCTAACTTGGTTCCGTATGACTGATAGCTAATGGCTAGGTAGCTTGTGTCTTATGTTAGCTTACCTTAGCATCCTTCAGATAGATAGATCCTGCTGTGCTGTTTGTATGTAGGTTAGCATAGCATTTTTACATGAAGCTGTATAATTGAATGGCACCCATAAAGATAGCTATGTGTTCCCGTATTACATAAAAAAGTTTAATTCATACACATTAAAACACAAGCATAATTTGGGCGTTTTCTTCAACTTGGTCCCCTATGACCACTAGCTTATGGCGGCTAATGTTAGCTTAGCATAGCAAACTTCAAATACATCTTTCTGTGCTGCGTCCTTGTAGGGTAACATATTATTTTATGCATCTGTCTGTGTTCTTATTTGACTAAAAGCCCCTTAAAGAAAAACTGGTAACAAAGAAATACAAACGTGTTTTCTTTCCCTTCACAAATGGAAAAATTCAAGCATTAAAACATATATTGTGTAATTTAAGAGCTATGTTGCTACAGCCTAACTTGGTCTTGTATGAGTAATACTGGTGGCCAATATTAGTAAACTTATAAAAGATCTTGCTGTCCTGTTTGCTCGTAAAGAAGCATTGGATCTCTATATTTAGCTGTGTTGTTATTTGACTGAAAGCCCCTCAAATCACAACTAAAGTGAAAAAAGGCCAATTTCGTGCCTGTTCTATATGAAAAGTTGAATTCATAAAAACTTGTTAAAAACCATTGCATAAGTTAAGGGTTTTGTAGCTTCACCCTAACTTGGTCTTTTCTGAACACGACTAGTTTATGGTGGCTAATGTTAGCTAGCGTTAGCAAACTTCGGTTAGATATGGCTTTGTAACAGACGTCACAGTTGGCTAACTTCTCTCTCGTTGTGCTCAGGTTTTATATTTTGCCTTTATTCCATAGACATCACTTGTAACCACAGTTAAGAAAGAGGCACATAGTCTTTGCTTTCAAGTCTTTGTTGTTTACCTGCATTTAACAAGAGTCTACTCAGACTACTCACAGAAATCAGGACGCTTCCGATACTTCGAATCTGTTCCAAGACATTAGTTCTGACCAAACAAGAAAGGTGAAGGTGTGATGAGCATTGTGTCCTATTTTTCTGACATTTTATTTAACCAAATAGAAAATTATGAGTGCTGCGTTTCAATAATTTGAGGTAGGAGTACGGCCGAGTACTTTTGCAGACTTATCGTATCATCTTGTTAATAAACGCTGTTAACTTTACCTAAAATTATAGAAACGCAACAAGAGAAAATGTGTTTATTGCAACCTTCATCTTTTGAAATGCCCCTTAGCTTACCTCACCACCTTTTATACTCCTAAGCTCCACTCAGTTTCTCACCTCTTCTGGTCTCACTATCGCTCTCAAAGCTCCCGTTCTCATTCCCTTCCTTGGGGCTGTTCAATCCTGGAATATCAGCGCTGGGACTGGTCCACCCTGCAAAGCTCAGAGGGAGGTCCTTGTTCTTGGCCTCCCCTCGGCAGAAGAAGGCGATCTGGGACAAGCCGTAGCCCATCAGAAGCACCCAACCGTTTGCCACCAAAGCGATGCAAATCACCGGGTCGTCCCATCGAGGTCTATGGCCCAACTCTGGATTCCCTCTGACCAACATCGTGATCCACACCACCCAGATACAGGCGGAAAGCAGCAGCGTGAGGAAAAGCAACGTGGCGTGAAGTCGACTCTGCTGGCGGACGGCACCGTTGTAACTGTAAGGCAAGGGAAGTTTATTTTTATAGCACTTTTCAACATAAGGCAATTCAAAGTGCTTTACAAAATGAAAGACATTAAAGGTCCCCTATTGTACTGTTTTTCATCAATATATTACAGGTCTCAGATATATACAGAGCCTGTCTCTGATTGGCTGAAACACCAAACGGATCATTGCAGCTTTACCCATAATCCCCTCTGTTTCAGCCCTGTTTCCAAAGTGCTGATTCTGTAGCCTCATCCCAATACCCCTCCTCGACTCCTCTCTTCCCCTCCTCCGGGACTTGACCCGGAAATCGATCAAGACACGCCATGTTGAAGGACGTCCCAATAGCTG